CAGCTCCAGCTCCAGCTCCAGCTCCAGCTCCATCTCCAGCTCCAGCTCCATCTTCAGCTCCAGCTCCATCTTCAGCTCCAGCTCCATCTCCATCTTCAGCTCCATCTCCAGCTCCAGCTCCAGCTCCATTTCCAGCTACATCTTCAGCTCCATCTCCAGCTCCATCTTCAGCTCCAACTCCAGCTCCATCAGGCTGACTGCAGCCCGCCCTCACCGAGAAACCTCACCACAAATATACGTCAGTCCCACTGAAGTGACCAGGTGTGCACAGTGCAGATGTGTGCACAGTAAAGGTGTGTGCACAGTGCAGATGTGTGCACAGTGCAGATGTGTGCACAGTACAGGTGTGTGCACAGTACAGGTGTGTGCACAGTGCAGATGTGTGCACAGTACAGGTGTGTGCACAGTGCAGATGTGTGCACAGTGCAGGTGTGTGCACAGTACAGGTGTGGACACAGTACAGGTGTGTGCACAGTACAGGTGTGGACACAGTACAGGTGTGTGCACAGTGCAGGTGTGTGCACAGTGCAGATGTGTGCACAGTGCAGGTGTGTGCACAGTGCAGGTGTGTGCACAGTACAGATGTGTGCACAGTGCAGGTGTGTGCACAGTGCAGATGTGTGCACGTACAGTTAGATAGCAACTCCCTGCCCTCACATTGTTTTCCCCTTGCAGACCTGCTACAAACACAGTTTGCACCCCTGCTTGGTCCAACGCCCGCCCCCACCCACCCCTGCTCATAGCAGCCACCCCTGAGGCGAGTGCGTGCAAACCTGGCTGTAGACTCAGCAGCCCCCCCATCGCTGCACCCCTTCTGCTCAGAGTACAGAGGGAAATGAAGGCTTTTGGAGTTCATTATGAAACAACAACAGCAGCAGCAGGGGATCGGCCTCCTGGGGCCACAAAGTCTCCCCCATCATCCCTCCATCCTTGTCTTTCTTCTTGATGTCCTTCAATATTTCCACCTGAGTCCACCGTTCGTGATATGCTGTTCAGTCTTTTTTATTAATCCTGCAGCTCTGCTAAGAAGAATGCCGTTTCTTTTAAGCTGAATGAAGTTAAATATTTATCTGAAATATTACAGTTTGATCAGTTAATATAGTGAGTCAGTAGTGAAGAAATATGAACTTGGCTGACCTCAGCCTTTGGAAAGACGCTTATACAATTTCAAACAGGACCCAAGATTTATGTGCGTAGAAACATTATGCTGCTGCACAAACATGTAATTCCTCAAAAATATTTAAAAAGCATTGCTTATAAAGAGCTTTTGGAATGGATTAATTCAATAATGTAAAGATTGAATCTTTTTCATACACAAGAGTTGGTCATGAAGTTCCTCAGGGTTCAGTGCTTGGACCAAAACTCTTTACGTTTCCTTCCATTAGGTGAAATTAGTTTACAACATGGGTTAAATTCTCATTTTTATGCTGATGATACACAGTTCCATTTATCCATAAAAGCTGATGAATTCTATCCGAAATGCTGCTGCCAGAGTTCTGACGAGCGTTAAAACGAGAGCTCGCGTTTCTCCTATTTTAGCTTCTCTGTGGTTCCCTGTAAAATTCAATATATCATTTAAAATCTTGCTTCTAACATATAAACCTCTCAGCAACTGAGCTCCATCCCATGTTAAACATGTTATATATTCACCTAGCAGAGCTTTTCATTATCTAACTTTAGGTTTACTCGTGGTTCCTAGAGTTTGTAAAAGCAGAAGGGGAATCCGAGCATTGTGTTATCCGACTCCTCTCTTGCGGAGCCAACTTCAAGTCTCTGAGGCCGACACGGTTTCCTTTTAAGACTAAGTTGGCTTGGGTTTCTTGAAGTATCCTTTAGTTGTGCTGTTGTAGGCTTGGACTTCTTGAGGACGCGCTCTCTATAGATTTGCTGTTGTTATTGTCACTATGAAACGACTCCCATAGATTTTATGTTGAGCTCTTTGGTAAGAGCTGCTGTTTTAAATGTGCTTCATAAATAAAGTTGACTTATGTTCTCTGCTTGTCATCTCATAGAAACCTTCCAGTCATCTGAACCCCCAGTCAGTTGAAGCAGACGGCCGCTTGTCCTCAGCCTGGTTCTGCTGGAAGTTCCTTCCTGTTTAAAGGGAGTTATTTCTTTCCACTGTCGCCCAAATGCTGCTCTGGACGTGGGATCACGAATTGAACATTTGTTGCAAATGTAGCCATTTTGGTAAATCTTTGAAAATAATGTTTTCCTAAATCACATGCAAGATTGTGAGATTTCACACTGAGATTATATGAAGTTAATGACTCTCAGCTACTATTTCACAAATTTTAGCTCAATATCTGTTAAATTTACCGAGTTAGAGCCAATGTCTATTAGTTGTGAAGGCCACATTGAACTGGACTGACTCCAAAAGTTAATCAATAGATGCACATCCAATGATTATTTTCTGGGTTTCAATAAAAGCATTCAATTGGTTCACAAATTATTTGGGTAACAAACACAGGCAAAAACATTATCGCCCGCAGATTTGCTCTAATAATGCCGGACTGTACGCCCATAAGGAGATTTTTTAAGTAATTAAACCTGTGAAATGCTTCAAAACTTGACGTCTCAATACGTAATAATAAAGTGTAATTATAATAACGAGGGAGAAGCATCAAAAGCTTCTGAGCTGTAAATACTTCACACAAAAGGCCTCTGCGCTGCAGGTTCACATGCAAATTATGATTCACGGATAATGGCACGTAAACGGTTCCCCATCAAAGTTCTGGGGCAGCCCATTATAACTTTCTAACAGTCATTTGGGGGTGAAATGCTGTGCACAGCCGCGGTCCTCTGAGTCAACGCTTTGGTCATCATGGCGTGCTGGCCAGGGGCAGAACACCTGTAAGAACCCACCCCTCGGATTTTACTGTAGGCTTGAGGGTGACGCAGCGCGACCGCATCATTTTCAGATGAAAAGCAGAGCAGGCGTCATGAGCAGGAAGTGGTTTCACTCGATGGGTGCAGAGTTTCAGGCAGGTGGATTCATCTGTGCGTTTGTGTCGGTGGGCGACCGAGAAAAACAACAAAACACACAGCTCTTACAAATGTACGACTCTTTATTCATCTTATCTGTATTAAATAAAAGTGTGAAGCAACAAGATAAAAACTTTGGACTAACGGGTTATATATTTTACCACATTCACGGGGCCTGTACAGACATCTAACATACGATGTTTCAAAGGAAAGCAGAAGGAAAGACAAGTATCTACAGAGATCACTCCGCACAGCTCGTAAATCTTACAGATATTTGACAAAAAGTTGAAGTGAGGTAGAAAATTACAATTCCGCGTTGGCAGACGCCTCGAGCCCCGACGTGAGTTATATACAGGATCACTCGGATAAAACATAAACGCACGCTTTTAGGTCTTGCGTGCACTTTCGACCTGCACACATGGACAAAGAGAAGTGGAGTAAACACGGTCATTTTCTTTGATTAGCAATTAGGGAAAACAAGGAGCACGATTCACTTCAAAGGCACGAAGAACAACGATGTAATTTGGACTCTGAAAGCAGAAGTTTGGAGAAGCCATAAAAGTGTATGAACATGTGTGCGTCTATAAATACTTAAAGAGGAAAAAACAGTTGGTGTGAACCCAAATTGAGCAGAATTTCTAGAACCTTGCAGGGTTTCCCTCTGTGTTACCTTTTCCTTTTGTTCTGCTTTGCACATGTGGAGATTTCCATAGACATTTCCATACGAGCAACTGAAAAACCCAGCGTTCTTCTTGACACGATCACCCTGTTAATGCATGTAGCAATGTACATCAGCTTCCAGTGGTTCTGTTCAGACTATAACATTAAAAATACACCTTGTGGAGCAAATTAAGTGCTTTGTTTCCACCCATTAAAGAACTTTAAACGTTCTCCACAGCAGTCACAGAGACAGGCAGGTAAGTTCCTCAACTGAAGCCTTACCGGCAACACTTGATCATAAGATTTAAAATGTAAAGCAGCGGTATGACAGACAGAGATCGGCACAATAAATAGTCACACCAGAAGGATGAACACCAAACAAAGTCCGTGTCAGAGCTCCCATCCTGCTGGCTGAACCCAGTCCAGGTCTTGATTTTATTGTTACGTTTCAGGAGCCAGCTTCGCTCTTTTCCCAAAAAGTGGGATTTCAGTGCATCCAGCGAAAGAAAACATCCAGCACCTCCAGTCAGCTGCTGCAAATCAAACCAGTGATGATTAGCAAGTCTCCAGTAATATGATAGGGTTACATTTTCCTCCCACAACAACATGCAAGTCACGAACGGGATCTGCTCTGACGTGATTCAACATCAGTCTTTGTCACATTTTCTCACTGCTTTCCTTTTTTTACCTCAAGTCTTCCATTTTCTATTTTGTTTATGCATTTTTGCAGGTGTACACCTCCTCCTCCCTCACGCACGTCTGACACTCCACGTGGCAGCACCAGCGCACCTGGCAGTGGCAGGAGAGGCTGGTGAGGCGCAGGGCCGTGTTGTAGCCGCGGCCGCAGCACAGACTCTGACAGCTCGTGTCTTTGGTGCAGGACCGGCCCCCCGTGCCGGGCGAGTAACGGGACGGCCTGCAGAAGCTTGGCGAGTCCTCCAGGTAGACCAGGTCCGTGTTGCGGAGGCTCTGGCCGTGGCGACGAGGGCCGGCGAGCTCCGTCTCCCCCGTGGCCACGTTGGTGACGCTCAGCACCCTCATGGCGTTGTCGTATCGGTACTTGAGCAGCCGCCCCGTGTCGTGGAAAGGCGACAGCTGCTTCCAGCAAGTCCGCACGGCACAGGAGCCGGAGACCCCGTGGCACTTGCAGGTCGTTTTCAGTCCACTCTTTACTGCCTTTAAGAAAACAGGGGGAGGGGGGCAGAAACATCAGATCTTTCAGTTTGATTCATTACCTGGCTTCTTATCTGTGGGGTCTATCTGAAGAGAGGGAGACAGTTTCCTGCAGGGCGCGTTGAGGATTTAGAGGCCTGCAGAGATGCAACTGCAGCTTTTCGCAGAATGGCTCGACGGTGGAGACGCTCCGCTCGTCGCGTTTCAACCACCTCGTGTTCAGCTCCGTCTCTTTCCCCTGCAGCCTGAGGCAGAGGGGACGAGCGGCGCAGACGGGGCTGAAACTCTCCGCCCAACTTCATGCCCGTTCGTGGAAAACGCCGATGAGAATTTCTGTTCGAACAAAACAGTTTCGGATGTGCCCTCTCGGTTTGGGTGAATAGTTCACCGAGCTGGATGGTCAGCGAAGAGGGCACGATCAGTCAGGCTGAGAGCTGCTGTCGTGGCGGGGCCAGAGACAGGTCAAAGCGAAAGAGCCGGAGGGCTTGAAAAGGTCTGCTCAGTTCCTCCCTTTGCAGGTATGAACCCCTCCGGGGGGCTTGGGAGCACAGGGGGAACCTAAACCACTTGTTTTTCTGTAAACTCTTTTCAGTGTAAAACTTTTAGCTCAGTCGAGATGAGATAAGATGGAGCTCTTCCTGTTGTGTTGTTCCTCCTTGTCCCCACCGGCTCTGTGTGTAGGTGTGAGCTACAAGAGCAACACCCCCGGGCTCGTTTTCTGAGCCTCAGAGTGGTGGTTATGAACGTTAAGTGGATTTATGAAGAGCACAGGGATCCAGTAAGTGGGAAAAAATGCTTGCTCGTATATTAAAAAGAGGCCACGGTTATAATCGCTCTCTTCGACACGAGGCCTTTAATTTTGTGTTGGCCCGCACAGCAAGCTTTATCATGCCTGAGAACACCTGGCTCCAATGATCCCTCAGCCATCTTGTCTCCTCGCTGCATCTACTTTTACCCACCCAGGCCAAACATGGCAGAAAATACGAGGGGAAGGGTCTGACTGGAAGACAACTGTTCAGCGGAGGTTTTGTATCACCTGATGCTATAAACTCTTTCAGGCTGGAGTTGCAGCCCGAGTGTTCAAGTCAAATGTTCTATTTGTGGTTGTTGCAGGTTTTTATCAGGACTGAACGGCTGAACTTTGGGTTTACCTCTCAGCACTCACCCGAATTCCAACGTTGATGTTGTGGGCGTCCATCTGAGCCCTGAGGTCTTTGCTGACCCTTTTTTGACCGAGGAACTTCTTGAGAAACTTGGTGCTGTATTTCAGGTTGTCACCGCAGACCCCCCACTGCCACGCTTCTCGGTGCTGGATGCCGGGGGAGTCGTCGCACGTGCACCTCTCCATCCGGCCCGAGCTGCACGCTTTGGCGAGGGCATGGGTCAGCGCTGCAGAGGACACGGCCAGCAGGAAGGCGGTCTCCTTGAACGCTGGAATGAAAGGAAAAGGCATCAGAACAAACGTGTTAAACAGTTAAAAATGTGAGGCAGAGCTGTGAATGCTAATAAAATGTATTTTTGTTTGACTCATTAATCATCGATCCCCCTGACGTCATAGTTTACAACATCCTCAGCAGTTCTGTAAGTTTGTATCATAACTTCTCTTTTGACCTTTCCTGCACTGTTATTTCCTTCACCCAGAGCCACCACCAGGGTATATTTTGATCCAATTAATTGTTATTTTGACTAGGAAGGATTTTCCCAGATGAAAGTGGGCAACCACACCACCCTTTTCCTCTGGGAATGGCCGTTTTCCCTGAGATAAAAATAACCACAGGGTTTCTGTACGGCTCTGCTCCCTCATTAAACTGCACTTATACGCTGACCTGCTCATGTGCTCCCACACACTCACATCCATATGCATAAAGCCATTCTGTGTGCACAGCAGATATGAAGATCTTTATCCGATAAAGTTGCGGTAACAAGCTGCAAAGGACAGTTATGATTTTTTTAAGCTAACAATGTTATTCTCAGATTTTTTTTTTTTGCTTTGCCACAGCTGCAGTTGAGTTTCATCATGAAAAAATGTCTAAAGTTACTAAAATGTTGTGGAAGTTACTATAAAAAAACGTTTTCTTGTTTAATTTCAACTTGTTTTTTGAGTTGAAAGATCATAAAACCTCCTAAATAACTCAGACAAGCCAACAAAACCAATCAAAACAACTTGTATTTGCCTATTTTTACAAATTAATTACACAAACTCTGTTTTTATGAAACTTTAAAAGTACTGAGCACTCATTTAACTTTTACTAGACAAAACAAATATAAGAATATTATGGAAAACAGTTTTTTTGTTAGTTGTTCACTCACAGATCTGAAGATTTGTCTGTACATATTGTGACAAACGTGAGAAGTTGATGTGAATCATTTCACTTCAGCTTTTCGAGTTTTGGACTTTTAGCACAAAACTTGACCAGTTTCAAAGTTTTACAGCAGCAGTCTGACTTTGAACAGAAATATAGTTAATATAAATGCGTAAAAGCAACAAGCAGAGAGTGCCTCACCTCTTTTCAGGAGGCTTCCCCGACCATCCAGGCTGCAGTTCCAGCGCTCGCTCCGGAACTGGTAGCGACACTCCAGCAGGCTGAGGCGCACCGACTCCCGGAGCGTCTCTGCCAGACCCGGCTCCCGGCGGCACATGCGCTTCTGCCGCCGGCTCAGACTCATCTGCTCGCACTGCTTCAGGTGGGCCTTCCCGCTTGGAGATTCATTGGAAAACGGACCTGGTAAAAACACCAAAGGCTCCCGACCTGTCAGCCTATATGAAGACGAGAAACAGAAAAGTGTAAAACTGCGGTAAAATAAAGGCACTCTTTTGGGAACATTCCAATAATTAATATCTAATAAGTAATGTTGTATTTCGAAGATGGTGCAAAAACCGTCTCAACGAATCCACTCAAACTGATTCAGTCAGCTGCAACATAAATTATAAACGCTGATATGTTTCATTGCAACAAAATCTGCCGCAAATCTTTCAAGCAAAATGACAAATTCCAGCAGTTTGAGCGCATTTACGCGTGCGTAATTTGGTTCAAGCGCGTAAAGCCGAAGTTATTATCTTCCCAAGGGAGTAAAACAAACACAACCAATCAACAAATGTATAAAAGTTGATGGTCTGACCCAAAGTAAGCTGCAGCGTGAGAGAGGAGGATGCAGAGCGCAACAGTTCGGAATAAGCAGGCGGTCCTTGGGAGCCTGGAGCGCATTGTGCCGGGTTGGCGCTGTGCCTCATTTCGCTGATTCTTCAACGGAGAAAGTTGGTGCCGTGTGTTCGGCGCGTCTCTTTAAGGGGCTCCCACATGCACAACACTGAGCTGTGACTGCGATGCGCGTGGACCCCTGCTCCGCTGGGAGGCAGGGCTGCATCCTTCTGCCGCACCCTCTCTGGACTCTCCTCAGCACTGATCCTGATGGTTCCCTCCCTCTGAGACGCCACCAGGCTTTCAGCTTAAGAAACACTCGGAACTGTGGCCATCATCGTTTAATCATCTGTTTAGCTACATGTTGCTTGGAAGCTCCTGTTTGCAGGAACTGTTGCATGTCAACATGGTGCTTCCTTAATCATCTGAACTCTTCCACGTGTCACCTCAAATGACAGTCAAAGCTACTTCAAAAACACACACAAGTGGTAAATAATATAAATCCACAATGTAAGGAATAAATCCTTAATTATGACATTGAATCTTAAGTTCATGTTTTTCTTTTGCGCGTAAGAAAATGAGGAACTGCTTGTGCCACATTTGCTCCATCTAGTGGACTCTGAAACCTGAAAGCAAGAGCAAACACAAGTCCAGTTCTAGTTCATTTAAAAAAACACTGCAGAGAAAAAAGACGGTTTACTGGTTTGATGCTTAACAGTTTACTCTAAACATAGATATCTTTGCCGTGAAAATGGTCATTTTGTTTGAAAATAACTT